TATACTGCCTTGTTGAGCGTCAACGAATGTTGGACGTCAGGAAAATAACGTGCGTGAACGCAGGTCTTCTTCATCCAGCTTGTGTGAACGCTGTTATGCTAGCCTGGCAGCGGCGGCCGACGATGACGCGACGATGATGAGGATACTGTTGCTGTTACTGTTACTGTTGCTGTTACTGTTGCTGTTACTGTTGCTGTTACTGTTGCTATTACTGCTGCTGTTAATGTTACATTTGCTGTTACTGTTGCTGCGACTGTTAATTTTGCTGTTGCTTTTACTTTAGCTGTTACTGATGCTTTTATTTTAGCTGTTACTGTTACAGTTCGTGTTTATTTTACTGTTTCTGTTACTGTTACTGTTGTTTTTACTGTTGAGGTTACTGTTCATGTTGCTGTTATTGTTGCTGTTACAATTGCTGTTGTTGTTATTGTTGCTGTTGTGCTGTTACTGTTAATGTTGCTGTTACTATTGCTGGTGCNCTTGTATACTTCAATGAGGTCCCCACGCAGACGTCGATAATGGAGGCTTGGAAGCTTCATAATCTTTAATCTTTCCTCATAGGACTTGCCTTTCAAGCCCGGAACTATCCTTGTTGCTACTACTGTTGCTGTTACTGTTGCTGTTACTTTTACTGTTACAGTTGCTGTTACTGTTGCTTTTATTACTGCTGTTACCTTTACTGTAACAGTTGTTACTGGTACTGTTACTGTTTCTGGTACTGTTACTAATACTGTTGCCATTATTGTTGCTGTTACTGTTGCTGTTACTGTTGCTGTTGCTGTTATTGTTGCTGTTATTGTTACTGTTGAAATCACATGTTTGCTTGAAACGCAAGGTAACCAGTAATTCTATGGCAAAGACAATACCACAAAAACGCAAAATATCTTTATAATAGAAAACGTTTCGGAGTCCAGCTCCATCGTCAGTTCATAACACAAAATTCTGTTCAGAAGAAGTTCAGCCCTAGAAACACAAATATACCATCAATTTGTAAAGTAAGCTTCACTGTCAGGTTTCAAAACGGAAAATAAATGAATAAGACATGAAATTAACGCTAGTGAACGGCCTATCTATTTACTATTTCAAGAGGAAAGGAGCTAAAAGCGGCATTCAGACTAGGCTTCTATTTGAATATATACAGGGATTCTAAAATTCGTAGAACAGTAACACCGGATGTGGAAGCTAGAATTTTAAAATCACTATCAGATACAGAGGGGTTGCACTGCTCGGCATGAACACGTACAGCAGAATGAGGTGGATGTGCAAGTAGGTTCACCGTTCTTTAACTCCTGCCCTTATGCTCAGCCAGCCTAGTATAAAAATTACGCTACATCATGCCGACGTACGCTGATGTTAACTAGTGACGATCTCATAAGAACAGGTAGGGTATCCTTAAACCTGAAAAACGAGCCAATTCTAAAATTGTTAACTAGCAACACATGAAAATTTACATCCGGAAGATTTTTAGCAAATAAAGCTTTTAATTTCTTTGACATAGTCCCAGATGCAGGGCCAAAGTAGGGAAAAAACAGAAACAACTTTTCTATTGCCACACTTGGGAACAACTGCAGTATATTGCTTGGACATAAACTTTTTAATTTGGGTAAACACCAGGTGCGATGGAAAGCCATTTTGTGAAAAGATATTGCGCAACAATTCAAATTTAAAGTGCATGGCTAGGAAAGTAGAACAAATGCGAAAGCCGCGGTTTATCAATGTTTGAATGCCATTTGACTTGAAACGAAAGGAGCAAAAGCTAAACAAGCTGGTGCTTAAGCCAGTAAATGTCGATTTTCTAAAAACAGAAGTTTGGAAACGGCCATTAGATTTGGTAACTTTGCAATCAAGGAGGACAAGCTATTGTTCGATTCCAGATCCATGGTGAATTTGGTAGACTTATGTCGGAGATTAAGATAGTCAAAGATGATAGATGATAGCCCACAAGATAGATAGCCCATATGAGAGGGATGCTTAAAAATCAAAAAGGTATCATCAACATATCGGTTATAGAAAATTGTCTTAAAATCAAGAGGACAATTAGCCAACCATGTAGCCTCGTGAAAACACATGAATATATTGGCAAAGGTAGGGTCGAGTGGTAGCCCCATGCCCAAACCATCAATTTGTCTGTAAAACTTGCCAACAACTACGAAAATTTAGTTTAGCACAGGTAATTCAAGGAGAGATTTGAAAAAATTGCGGTTAAAACCCATGACAAGGTCATTGACATCTTAAAACAATGAATTGAGACAGATATCGATTGTTTCAGAAAGAGGTATATAAGTAAATAAATTTTCTACAACAAAAGAGGCCATGGTTAATTCCTGAACATTGGTAAAACTCTTCAGGCGACCTACGAACATATAAGTGTTATCCACAGTATATTAGTTGGTCGTAAGACAGTTCAAAAGCGAAACCAACAATTTTGCAACTTTGAAGCTGGGGGTATTAAAAACAACAAAAATTGGGCGGAATTGAAATTTCACATTGAAATCTGGTTTATGAATTTTGGGAAAACCATACAAAATACCCGGGCCAGAGCCAGAAACATGAAGTTGAAAATGAGTTTCAGATGATAGTACAGCGGAATCTTTAAGTTTTCGTAGTAAATTATTAATTTCGTCCTCTTTCTTTAAAACTATTTTAGCGATTGGTTCAGTAATTTCTTCAAATTTGGAAGGGTCGGTGATCAGATTAGTAAGGCTACTGTTATAACGCTTGCGATCAACTAGTACTACTCCTTTACCATTATCTGGCTTGCAAATGATAAAGTCCTTATTTTTGGACAAGTCTTTCAATACAAGGAAATCAAGTGGCTGAAAAACAGATGAGAAAATTTTGTAAGATTCAAAAGCATAAAAATTACGGTAAGCTAAACTTTGTAAGTTGCCAAGAAATTCCTGACGGTTGGTAATTGAAACATCTTTTATGCTAAGAGCTGCGCGATGTCATACCGACATACGCAGATGCGCACTGCGCAAAACTATGTTGATAAACCAGGGATGATCGCATAAGAACAGGGATAAGATCTTTGTACTTGAAAAAGAGCTAATTTTAAAATAGTTCACGAGCAATACACGAAGATTCACATTTGGGAGGTATTTAGTGAATAGATCTTTCAATTCCTTTGCCATAGTCTCAGAAGCGGCGTATATCGGTATGACATCGCGCAATTTTTATACTTGGCTTGCAGAACATAGGGGCAGGAGTTACAAAACAGGGAACATAATTGCGCATCCCCCTCATTCAGCTGTACGTATTCATGCCGAGCTACGCAACGTCCCTGTGTCCAATAGTGATTTTAAAATTTTTTCTTCCACAACTGGTGTTTCAGACCTAAGAATTTTAGAATCATTGTATATTTTTAAACGGAAGCTCATTTTAAATGCTGCTTTTAGTTCCTATCCTCTTCAAATTGTAAATAGATAGTACTTTCTGCTCATGTTGTCCCGTTTATGCTCGTACTAATGTCCTTAAGTTTAGGTGAATTTTTTGGATGTGAATTTTAGGTTGCTAATTGTTTGCACCTGTGTTCAAGGTTTTGAACTGACGATGGAGCTGGACTTCGAAACATTTTCTCTTATAAGAAATGCTGAATTTTTTGGCGATTTTCTTTCCTTTTAAATTCCTGGTATCATAAATTTTTCCCGGACAATGCAGTTGAAAAAAACTAAATTGCTGAATTTGTCTGAAAAAAGACCGTCTGGCAACGGGAGCACGCCGTGCTCCACCAATTTCGTGCATCAATAAGCCCTGAATCGAACGCCGTGGATCTCTCCGGACATCCACCAATCAGCCGTGAACCACTCGGCTTTCTCCTCCTCCGGCCTTGCATAGAACCTGCAGTGCACCACCAGGCCGTGGATCGAATGTGACTGCGAGTATCGTTAAGTTACGTTATTTTACGTTCATCGCATCTGAGGTTAGGTTTCAGATAGCATAGTTCTGTTCCAAAATTTATCGTCCTTCGTCGAGTGGCCGTTCGACCGAGGGCTGGTTCGACGCACGGCCGAGATATGATTGTCCAGAAGTGTTGGAGGCTACGTTCCGGAAGGCGGCAATCATGATAGTCTATTACATCCAGGGCAGTGGTGGTCTTTGGCAGGCGACCCCTGGCAACCCAGTTTAAGAATAGTACAAAAACTGAAATAATAGCACAAGATTAAGCAATCGGAGTCAATGTGTTAAGCAACCTGGTAAAAAAAATTGAATAGCTGCATTTAAAAATCATTCAGCCCCTTGAATTGTCTAATATGCTTCTATTTGACGTGTGCCTAAAACATTAAATGATGAATACAGTGTAAGAGAGTGATTTTGAAAGGATTATCATTAGTGCTGGAATTTGTCCAGGACTTACTGGTACATAATAATAATCATAATAGCGGGTTCAGCATTCGTAAGGCCGTAGGGCTGTCGCCTATTCATAACGTAGCAGAACATTCACAGCTTGTTGCGGTCTGCTCCAATTTTGCTTTGCTTAACCACCCAGCCTCCTTGCCGATTCTGATCAGAAACTAGTGCACAGAGCTGGGATTGAACCCCCACCTCTCTGCTCCAATCTTGGTATGGTACTCTGAACTGTAACCACTGGGCAGTGTAACCACATTTATGTCTTATGTATGTCTTATTTCAAATATTTAAAGACTTTACTTCCAAAAAAAATTAAAAAAAAACTACAAAATAGCATCTTACTCTATATTTTACTGGCACTAGAAACCAAATGGTTAATACAAAATTGCTACTTATCTTAAATTTGTGTCTAAAGTAATGCAAAAAAAAAGAGTTTGTCACCATCTGATTGGAAAGTTAGTCAAATGAGCAATCGGAGTCAATGTGTTGATTATAGTATTGTTGTTGTTCAACATTGCATTTTCACATGCAGCTACAACTTTGTTGTTGAAGTAAAAATTTGCAAACATGCCACACATGGGAAGGAATCAATAAACCTACAACTTTTCAACAATTTCATGTTGATCATCTGTCATCAAACCCAGAATTGCCATATACGTTTAAAGAACTACAGGTAACTTTCTATAAAAGTTGTTGCTACCAAATCGTGTAGTTTAATATTTTAGTCAGTAAAATAACTTGTTGCTACTCTTTTCGATTCAATTTGAAATTGCTTTCAGATACACTCTTCTTGCTTGGTTATTGAAGGATATTTTATTACTTCAAGTATTTCTGAGGAAAACCCTGAAGTATTCATCATATTAATCACATGGCATACAGTATAAAAGGGTGCAGAGTTGATCTGTACCAGCTCCCAGATTCTGCAGTCAGGAACGGCTGGTGCCCTGAGCAGAGCCTCAGTCAAGCAGCAACTGACGTGTGCAAACTCGAGCCTGAAGGTATGCCGCACAACTGGTGCTTGCAAGTCTATTTTATTTGTCAATTGGGATATTGTTATACTTATCAGCCTTTCTGATTATATTACATTGTATACAATTAATGACCTAAATCCCTTAGAGATAGTTTCAATCTATTATAATGTTTATATTCTTCTTTGCTAGTATCATCATGATATTAATTATTTTGAATTACATCCAGCAATAGAGGGCAGCAGCTTGTCTACAGCAGCAATAGAGGGCATCAAAGAGGAGCCTGAAGATGAGGGAGAGGAGATAACTGTGAAGAATGAATCACTTTGCAGTGAAGAATATGAGGTGATATATCCAACAAGATCGAGTTCAAATAAATTGTTAAGGAATTAAAATGTTGATGCTAACTGATCATGTGGCTTCAGTGGCTTTGCTGCAAAAACTTGCACCTCAACTGTCATTAGCTCTTATGTTTATTACAGTTGAAAAATGTGCATCACTTAGTATCCTCAATTTTTATATTCTCCTATCCAAAATTAATTCCAAGATAAAATAAAAAAGATTCTAGTGAAGGATTTATATGAACATAACTTCTTCAGCAATATGCCCCCTTCAAGCAAGGCATGTAGCAATGTTGCTCATGTCCTGTCTCTTGTTCTTTCATGGTTTATGTTCTTGTGAGATGTGAAATTACAGTATCACATGAATGCACACTAACTTGGAAATGTTCTCTAGTGCATGACTTAGGAATTTTTTCGGTAGATTTACTTTGATACAAGTTTTATACTGAGTAATGATTACCTCTCATATCATTCCCATTTCAATTGCCTAGATGAATCCTTTTAATTAAAATTAGTTTAATTCAATTGATAACAATCAATGATTGTTTCCCAAGAAATGTTTGTAGAGGACAATGAAAATTATAGTAATCTAAAAAACATTTAAATGCTAAGTTAATTTTTGTTCATTGCATGATATGAAAGAATCACATGAATCTACTTTCCATCTTCAGGATGCCATGCCGTGCGATGCCACGGCCACCATTGGTCAGGCTGTGATGCCAGTTTTTCCTGAAAACAAGGAAGAAAAGATGTCTGTCGCGGAGGAAAATATTTCTCCAGTGCATAACGGAGCAGCTTTTGTCCAGGAAGTTCTTTCTTATCAGCCTGTGGCTGAGTTCAAGTCATCCAACTTGACCAACAATGATCATGCAAGATTAGCAAAGAAAATGCCCAAGGTTCCCTCATCCACTGATTCTTTATATCCAAATGTTCCTTCTAAGGCCCACCAAATCACCAAACGAGATTTACGACCTGTATTAAACTGTAAGTTATGCAACTATATTACAAATAGAAAAGACAATTTCAATAGTCAAATGTTTTCTAAACATGGCTTGGGGAGAGGAATCGAATGCAATATGCAAGTTGTGTGACTATGCCGCTGCAGTAAAAATGGTCTCAAAGTTCATGGGTTCACTAAACATGGTTTGGGGAGAGCCATGAAATGCAAGTTGTGTGATTACGTAGCTGGCAGAAAACACTATATCAGAACGCATATGTTTTCTAAACATTTAATAGGAAACTGTGTGAAATGTGATCTATGCGACTATGCATGCAGCTAAAAAAGAAGCTCTCCAACATCACCTATTTTCTAACCATGGTTTGGGTATGGGAATCAATTGTAAATTGTGTGATTATGTTACTATTAGCAAATCTCTTCTCAGTATGCACATTTTTTCAAAGAATGGTTTAGGGAAAGGATTCTGCTGCAAATTGTGTGATTATAGCAATTTTAGAGAAGATGCTTTTGAAATGCACGTGTTTTCTAATTAGGGGTTAAGGAATGGACTCCCATGTGAGTTTTGTGATTATATCACAAGTAATGAACGTTATCTCTAAAAGCACCCAAAATCTAAGCATGTTTTGGTTTAGGAAAGATCTCTTATTAAAAGTTGTGCTCCTATTTCTGCTAACACTCTAATCTAAACCAAGTTGATGGGTTTTGGTAAAATTTAGTGTTTTTAATCGTTCAGCTGAAAAATTTAACAAATGCATTCAGATTTATAACGATTATTTAGTGAAATCGTTCCATACTGAGTTTAGTTACAATTCCACAATCAAATTTTAATGAGTCTCCCAATCCATGCACTTTCCAAATCAAGAAACCAAGGAGGTCTTGATGCTAAGTATTCAGGTCTGTCTCCTCATTATTTTTTCTTATTACATAGACTTCAAATGGGATAATATGGGAAAATGTTGTGCATCAATTTTACATATAATACAGTTGGTAATATAATATTTATGTTTTAGTGTATAAATGAGTGTTGCAGAAGGGCCTTTAGAGTGATAAACTTGTTGGTGGCAATGATGTGATCTGCTGCTATAATTACTGCAATGGTGCATTAAGCATAAAATTCACCTGCTTGTATGTAGGTGAGGTTTGTGATATTGCTTTTCAAATGTTAATTTCGGGCTTATTATTTGAATTAGGACATCTTTAATGAGGGCCTTGAGAGATTTTTTATTGATTTGAGCTTGCTTTTGTTGTCTCTGTTAATAAGAGAAATGGCATCAGCCACAGTTTGGAAGAGTTGTGGAATGCACTAACATCTCTTGAAAGTCTATTTACTACATTTATTATTTTCTTGGGAAAGGTTTTCTATACCTTTAACCCTTTTACATTAATAGCAAGAGCCTGAAGGCAGCACTTAATTTATCATTAAGTATACATGCTATGGATTGGTGAACTCTAATATACTTGAGCAGGAATTTCTGCTTAAGTATTAGGTACTTAAGCACTGCTCATTGGCTCTGTGCAGTTCTTCCTTGAGCAATGCGGTCTGTTTCTATGAACTTTCACATATCATCACAACCAACATAAAGTCGCATTGATTGCTTTCTGAACATCTTTGTTTCTATTAACTTTCACATTTTACAATAATCACCATAAAGTCGCATTAATTGCTTTCTGAACATCTTATTTTCTATGAACTTTTACATTTTACAACAACCTCCATAAAGTTGTATTGATTGCTTTCTGAGCATCTTATTTTCTATGAGCTTTTACATTTTAAAACAACCACCATAAAGTTGTATTGATTGCTTTCTGAAGATCTAATTTTCTATGAACTTTAACATTTTACAACAACCGCCATAAAATCTTGCTCATTTTCTACCTACAGCAGCTACAAACTACAAGCCGGCAAGAGACGAGGACGAGGACTCCGATATTTCGGGTGACAATTCCTCAGGAAGCGGTAAAGAATTCGTGCCAGATTGCTCCTCTTCCTCCTCGTCTTCTTGCGAGTCCGCCGACGAGGAAGTGCACGAGCCTGCACCTGCCTCTGAGACAGCCCACGAGAGGCGACTCCGTCTTAGGAGGATCCGTCGGCACCAGAAGGCAAGAGAAGAAGGACGCGAAATCAAGGAAAGGGCCCGTGGACAGGTCCCTACTTTACCCCTGCCGATGTTTGACAAAAAAGGCAGGCCCTACAGCCAATCTGAATCTGCAGTGGCAAGCCGGCGAAAGAGATTGGCCAGAAAACTAAGGCATGCGAGTACAACCAGGGCCCAGCCTCCCAAAAAGAGGAAGATGACGGAGGAAAGACTCGCCGACTTTGAGTCTGATGATGATGAAGTTCCAACGAAGAACGTGATTGTCGACGGCGTCGAAGTCTTCAAGAATTTGTCTGCGTGGCAGCAAAAATGCGGGAAAAAGGAGGGGCCCCCTTGCCATAAAGATCCATTTTTGTTGTACACCGGCGAGGACGACTTGAGGGCACTTATGCCCGACCCTTCATCACTGCTGTACCTTATAGAACGTTATGTTCTTAAAGTGCAGGCTCGCGCGACAATAACATCTGCTTTCAGCGGATGTGGGAAGTGAGTGATAGAAATTTTTGCACATGTTATTATGTAACGAAAACACACATGTTATTATGTAATAACTTGTTTGAGACATTTCTGCGATTTTCATGTTTTGTTTTATGACGCGGCTTCATTTATTTCCTTGCAGCAAGAAGAAAAGGAAGTCCGGCAACTCCTCACAAGACTCATCCCCCCCTGGCAAGGATGATGATGATGACGACAGCACAGAGGCGGGTGTAGAAGAGAGTGGTGACCAGGATGCAAGCATCCCCTGGTATGTGTTTTTTCTTCATTGAATGGCTCGCAGACAGAAAATTAATCTGAAATAATTAAAGAAATGCTCAAACATTTAGCGTACTCCACCCCGTCTAATCGAGTTTGTTTCTTTTTTCCACTCACACAGGCGAGGCCCTAAGGCATATTCCCGCACCCGTGGCAAGAAGCTGGAGGGAGTGCAATGGGAGTGCTTAATCCCAGCGTGCGAGGGCCTCGCTCGGCCAAATCATATGCGCAGACACTATCAATCTGCGCATGGATTCAACGAAGCTGCCTCGAAAGGTATGAACAGCATTCATCGAAGACTAGATATGATCAACAAACGCCAGCAAGGCCATCCGACCTTGAGCCCCAGCGAACTCCGAATACGTGCTGAAGCTCTCTTAAATAATGAATTCAAATGCCTGCCCGAAAGTTTGCCATCGTGTCTTGGAAAAGATATGCAAGAACTGGCAATGCCACTCACTTTGCTCGTTCTTCTGCTTGACGGAATTGGCAAGAGGAACGAGGTTGCAAAACAAATAGAACTATCAAGAGGTAAAAATCAGCAGGCAACCACTAGCAAGACCACCGCCACAAGACTATGCGAAGATCAGCAAGAAGAAATCGGTGAAGGGGAGCAGGAAGACTATGTAAGGCAAGAACAACGTGTGGAAAGACCTGGAGGGCTAAAATTGCAGTACCTGGCAAAGGGGGAGACGGATGATTTGAGGTTCGTGACTGTTAAAATCAGCAGGCAACCACTAGCAAGACCACCGCCACAAGACTATTCGAAGATCAGCAAGAAGAGATCGGTGAAGGGGAGCAGGAAGACGATGTAAGGCAAGAACAACGTGTGGAAAGACCTGGAGGGCTAAAATTGCAGTACCTGGCAAAGGGGGAGACGGATGATTTGAGGTTCGTGACTGTTTGTCCTATATGCCTTAAAGGATATAACCACCGAAAGGTCGGCCAGCACATTATAAGGACGCACAACAAGTCAAAGTTAGAAGCAAGAACCCTGGCGAAGACTGTGTTTCCTTTCAAGAAACTAGTTAAAATCAAATCATGTCCAGGAAGGGGGGAATCACTTCGCAGCAGAGTCCCAGAGAAAATAATGAATGAAATCAGGCAGGAATTCGTTGGACGTGGGGTCCAACCTATAAACAACTTTAACCTTGGGACGCCTCGGTTAGAATTCGCTGATCCTGGTCCAGGAGTCTTTGCTAAGTGAACTGTATTAGCACCCACACATTCCTAGCTCATGTTCTCACATTTGTATTCAATTTAGCTCATGCAGTTGATGCGGTAAAGTTGACTTGTAAACAATTGACAACTAGCTTGTATTGATCAATAATTAGTGTTGGAAATCTTTGAAATCCTTCAAGTCTCATTGATTTCCTAATTCCCTAATTATTTTACCACCTCTATTGCCATAAATGTCATGAATTTGTTTCTTCATGGCCACTAACTTAGGGTGCTGGGTAATATAAAGTTGAGGTAGTTGGAAATGTAGTCAATAGTTCAGCCTAAACCTGACATATAGAATGAATGTAAGAATAAGATTTTTGCTACAGAGTACAGTGATGCATCATTGCATTCTCTGAAGCTGGGCATGCCAAGTGTGTAATGTATTTAGTCTTGGTCAGCAGTGTCCAAGTATTCCACGTTGCTTCAAAAACATGCGTGGAAATTCTTTGTTTTACCTCGCGTCAATGAGATAGTACTGTCTTTTGAGCAAATATGCTGAATTTTTTGCCTCATTTTAATTTTGTCATCCATTAAACATTAAATGCCTAAAATCTTATCAAACATTTAACTTCAAATCGTTGATGATGGCTCATTTTATTATTTTCCTTCATTCGTGGTTCCTGTGTGCAGCATTGATAGACAATCTGCCTTCTATGGTACATGACTCTAACATTGCTTTAATTCTTCTTGTTGTATGATCATTGCTACTTTCAGTTAACTTTTTCTAGATTAGAAATAGATAGATTTCTAGTACACAATTTTTTTTTATTTTTGAGGCATCTGACTGGAAAATTTAAGGCTCTCATAGATGTGGCAAGCAGGCTTATGGACCCAGATTTAGCTGGCTGCAGGAATTAGGAACAAACTGCCATGCATCATCTCCTTTTATTCTTTTTGGGCCTCAATTCAATGATGGTAATTTCATTTGGCGAAAAAATTCATTTCCTTCTGCCATGATTATAATTTCTGCTTGCCTTTTTCACATCATTGTTGCAGCTTGCCTACTTTTATGTGGGTGTGATGAACTCGTCATCAGCTTGTACTTGTCTATTGCAACTACTTGATTTGATGGGATTTAAAGTTGGTGCTTTCTGATTTTTACTAAAGAAGTTTGAAACAAAGGGTTGCATAGTTTATTACGAGGATTGTGAAGAAACATGAATAGATAGGAAATGGAGATTTTTGAGAAACATGGAGAGGTGATGATTGCCATTGTATTGCAGCAGATTTACGCAGTGCCTTGCTCAATTACTGCTCATTTATTGGCATTTGGCTTGATGGCTTCCCTCTATAATAATTCCAAAAACTATGTATACAATTCTGTAAGATTGATTGAAGACCAGAGCATGCTTTTTATTAATAATCTTCTTGTTCGTTTTTCGAAAATACAATTTTCATTATCAAGCTGTAGAAGGTTTTACAGCACTTGAAATAGAATTTTGGAAATGACAGTAGTACAAAGAATCGAGTAGTACAAAGAATCGCATACATATCGATGGTATAGTGGATACAATATAAAATATTAGCTTAAAATTATTCTGAAAATAATTTCAGCGTCCGGAAGAATCCTGTTGTTTGGAGGTTGATAGCTGGAGACTCGCTCTTGATAATGACTGGCACGACCTTAAGCCGACGACTCACATGCCACCAACAATCTGGATAACCTAAGAACCACATGCGGGAGGCTCACAATGAGACCATCACCCGAGCGACATAGGAGGCCTGCACCAGCATAGTTATGCGGTGCCCTGACCCATCAAGACTGGCGATAGCTGAGGACCTCATTATCAAGACAACATCCAGCTATAAACCTCCAAACTACCAGATTCGTCCGGACGATGAAATTATTTTCAATGTGATTTAAGCTTATATTTTAAGTTGTATCCACTATACCATTGATATGTACTACTGTCATTTGCAAAATTCAATTTCAAGTGTTGTAAAACCATCTCCAGCTTGATAATGAAAATTGTATTTTCGAAACGTCGCATTCTATTAAAATGCCTTTTGGAAACCTGCTTTTTGATCTCCCAGCGCCAGCAAGAAATTTGGTTCGACTCCTCGAAAAAACGAACAAGAAGATTATTAATAAAAATCATGCTCTGGTCTTCAATCAAACTTGCACAAAAGAAAAGATTCTGCCGAACTAAACCCATTCTGTAAGAATAAAATAATTAAAAAATTATATTATCTCACACAAAGTTGAATTAATGCTATATCTTCCATCACAATAATTATAAAAAATGAGTACAATGGGAATGAAGAACATGTCTACATGAAGGTTCTGCTATAAAAGTGTTTACAACCCCCGGTAACAACATGAGGGTGGCCAAGTGTTCCAATGAGGATCTCACCCTCACAAAATGTGTGATAGTCAACGAGGCAGAATTCAACAAAGTTGAAGACAGTCAAGTAAGACAGTACTGTGATTCCAAAATTTAAATATTGAAATCACTTGTTTGCTTGAATAGCAAGTTAAGCAGGAATTTAAAAGCAAAAACAATACCACAAAAATTCACCATATCTTTAAGAGAAAACTTTTCGGTGTCCAGCTCCATCGTCAGTTCATAACACAAAATTCTGTTCAGAAAAAGTTTAGTCCTAGAAACACAAATGCAATCAATTAGTAAAGTAAAAGGCACTGTTAGGTTTCAAAACGGAAAAATAAGTAAATAAAACATGAAATTAACGCTAGTAAACTGCCTATCTATTTACTATTTCAAGAGGAAAGGAGCTAAAAGCGGCATTCAGACTAGGTTTCTGTTTGAATATGTACATGGATTCTAAAATTCGTAGATCACTAACACCGGATGTGGAAGCTAGAATTTTGAAATCACCATCAGACACAGAGGTGTTGCACTGCTCGGCATGAACACACAACAGAATGAGGTAAATGTGCAAGTAGGTTCCCCGTACTACAACTCCTGCCCTAATGCTCAGCCAGCCTAGTCTAGAAATTGCGTGACGTCATACCGACGTACGCTGATGCGCACTGCACACAACGATATCTGTAAACTAGTGACTTACGCATAAGAACAGGTAGGGTATCCTTATACCTGAAAAACGAGCTGATTCTAAAATTGTTAACTAGCAACACATGAAGATTTACATCCGGAAGATATTTAGCAAATAAAACTTTTAATTCCTTTGACATAGTCTCTGATGCGGGGCCAAAGTAGGGAAAAGAACAGTAAACAACTTTCCTATTGTAACACTTGGGAACGACTGCAGTATATTGCTTGGACATAAACGTTTTAATTTGGGTAAACACCGGGTGCGATGGAAAGCCATTTTGTGAAAAGATATTGCGCAACAAATCAAATTCAGAGTGCATGGCGCTAGGAAAGTAGAACAAATGCGAAACCCGCGGTTTATCAATGTTTGGACCCCATTTAACGTGAAATGAAAGGAGCAAAAGCTAAAAAAAGCTGGTGCTTAAACCGGTAAATGTCGATTTTCTAAAAACAGAAGTTAAGAAACGGCCATTAGATTTTGTAACTTTGCAATAAAGGGAAGGCAAGCTATTGTCTGATTCCAGCTCCATGTTGAATTTGATAGACTTAAGTTGGAGATTAAGATAGTCAAAGAAAAGGCCCACATGAGAGGGGTGCTTAAAAATCAAAAAGGTATCGTCAACATATCGGTTATAGAAAATTGGCTTAGAATCAAGAGGGCAATTGGCCAACCATGTAGCCTCGTGAAAACACATGAAAATTGAGTTTAGCACAAATATGAAAATTGAGTTTAGCACAGATAATTCAAGAAGAGATTTGGAAAAATTGCGGTTAAAACCCATGACAAGTTCATTGACATCCTTAAACAGTGCAGTGAGACAGATATCGATGGTTTCAGAAAGAGGTATATTAGTAAATAAATTTTCTACATCAAAAGAGACCATAGTCAATTCCTGAACATTGGTAAAACTCTTCAGGCGATCTGCGAACATAAAAGTGTTATCCACAGTATATTGATTGGTCGTAAGACAGTTCAAAAGCGGAACCAAAAATTTGGCAAGTTGTTGCGCAATATCTTCTCACAAAATGAAACAATTGAAAAAAACAGTATTCACACTCTCCATTATAAATGTTTGATGACATGAAAGGTGAACAAAGAGGTGGACTGATTGAAATTCCCCGTGAGAAATTTTTACCGATTGCCTAATAAAAACCAAGATTATAAGATTGCTTAATATCTCATGATTGAAAAAATGTAACTCTCTACTCACTGCAGTGAGTGACAGAGCGCGCATTTTCTCGACGCCGAAAACGTAAAGTCACGGACGGAATGACTGACGGATATGACGAGCACAATAGCGCATATTTTTCCATAAACGAGAAAATGCTCTAAAAACATATTTCAACTACTCTAAGATAGTTTTCAAAAGAAAAAGATATTTCATCAAAATAAATATATTTTAATAATAATAAATGTTAGGGATCAGTTGCTGTAAATTTATAAGACCTTATCAGACCCGCGTGAATTAACAATTTAGTCAAATATTAACAGGTTTTCATCATATGCACCTTATAGACTTCGGAATTATGTGAACTTTCATATAATTGCAACCAGTGCCTTAATATTTGGTATTCCTGCAGCAGGTAATGGTATTTGCAGTTCCTATCCCAGCCTTTAAATAATTTTTGGAAACTGCTGTGTTGCTGAATTGAATTCAACTGATTTTCTTCCCAGCTCGAGTGCCGAACTTGGAAGACGGTTATTATCCATCGGTTACTTGCACGTCCATTCAGAAGGTTCATTCTTTCCTATGTCTTTATTAATTGGAATTATTTGGAAAATAAAAAAAGTTTAGTTAAATGTACGCTTCGAAAATCTTAAATTATTTCTAGATTCAAGGCTGATCGCTTCTCGTGCATTCATTACTGAAGGATGCCAAGTGGAACTCCCACCCCTATTGTTGAGGTATGACAAGTACGCGACGTAGCATCGAAGACGTCAGGACGTCATCGTCATAGGTGTTATGCCCCTCGCATGATGACATAAGTAAGCGACGTAGCATCGTAGACGTCAGGACGTCATCTTCATAGGTGTTATGCCCCTCGCATGATGACATAAGTAAGCGACGTAGCATCATAGACGTCAGGACGTCATCTTCATAGGGGTTATGCCCCTCGCATGATGACATGATAAGTAAGCAACGTAGCATCATAAACGTCAGGACGTCATCTTCATAGGTGTTATGCCCCTCGCATATGCCTCGAAACATAAAAGGAAAATAACATTCATGCAAACAAACTTGAGAGGCAGAGATTACTATTGAACGACCTACACGAGAGACGTACCTTATAATTAATGGGAGCAGGTACCTTAGTTATCGACGAAATGTGTTTTCTGTTTTTTTAATTCTCATTTTTGGTGAGAACTATTTCCCATTGATTAAAGAAGACCGCAGGGCTTTAGTTTTTTTTTTGGTTTCTCGTGAGAGCGTTTCGGACTTCGTGGAATGAATATTTTATAACCATTTTATATAAAGATGTATGTTATTAAATCTGCATTTACAGCTCATTATTCGCGTTAATTGCAATATGTTGGCACTCGATTTAAAGCTGCAAACAAGACGCGTTCAATAAAGCCATATCCATGTACGTACATGAAATATTTTTTGAGTAAGGTCCTTTTGAAATTTTATAAAATGACCATTATATATAAATGAATATAAAAGAAAAATAACATTATAAATTGAATAAATGGAGGAGGTGGCCAAATTGAAGAAAATAAGATAAATAAAAAATAGTTTAAAAAATGGAAAAAGTGACTAAATGATCGCTATATATGTTCTTTACGAATCAAATGATATTTCTTTCGATTTTGTAACACGTTAATTGAATGAAAAGATAGATTTTTACAGTACTCCCTTATTGTAATTTTCTATGAATTTCACGTTTTCTTTCATTTGAGAAATGTACATGAACAAAAAGGTCTTAGATTTCTATTTTGCATATGTGTACAAAGTTTCAAAATGATGCGTCTTAGAATAAAAAAATTTTCTAGGACTAAATGCTCCGTTTAATCATTAGTAAATTATATTTGATGTAACGCAGTGCCTGTAATAGTAAATAAGAATGCAAGCGGGCCTATTGCTTTTAAATGCATTGCCTCGAATACATCAAAACTTTATTACTATCTTATGCCCGGGAGTAGAGTAAGCAGCCAAATATTTAAGCTGACACATGTTGAAATGGTTACTACTTTTAAATAAATTCCGTGCATCAAAAATTGAGCCTTATAGATACACTAGGCCTAGGCTATTGATCCAGGACTGATAATTGAGAAAACTATTATTTAGCGGTGTATATGTTATAGAATGTTGTGTAATCATATAGTATGTGGGCATTCATCGATGTTTATTATTGGTGAACGGGAAATTTTTTCGGTCTTGATGAATTCAAGCGAATGTTTGTTGCAGATCAGAATGTGCGGTACTGATAAATGTGAGAGAATGTTTTGCCCTGCTGCATTTGGATAATGTTAGGTAACCGGAATAGTGTAGAATGTTGGGTACCAAATAATATGGGATAATATG